CCAAGTTCGTTCTGAAATCGAATGGTTGGTGTATTGCATAGTTCTAGAGATTGGATTTCACTCAAAACCCGCCAAATGACTCCTCCCACCATATTTTGATGTTCCCCAAGTTTTGGACTCAATCCGATATCAGTTGGTCCATGAAATTGGACAATTCAAGTTCGTACGAAGTTTGTTCTTTAATGGAGTGGCTGGTGTATTACATAGTTTTAGCCATTGGATTTCAATCCAAACCCTCTAAATCACTCCTCCCACAATATTATGATGTTCCCCAAGTTTTGGACTTAATCCTATATCGATTGGTCCGTAAAATCTGACAATTCAGGTTCGTACGAAGTTCGTGTTGAAATCAAGTGGTTGGTGTATTGCATAGTTCTGGAGATTGAGTTTCACTCAAAATCCCACAAATGACTCTTCCCACCACATTTTGATGTACCCCAAGTTTTGGACTCAATTCGATATCGATTGGTCCATGAAATCGGACAATTTAGGTTCGTACGAAGTTCGTTATGAAATTGAGTGGTTGATATATTGCATAGTTTTTAGCCATTTGATTTCCATCAAAACCCATCAAATCACTCCTCCCGCAATATTATGATGTTCCCCAAGTTTTGGACTCAATGCGATATCGATTGGTCCATAAAATCTGACAATTCAGGTTCGTACGAAGTTCGTTCCTTAATGGAGTGGTTGGTGTATTGCATAGTTTTAGCCGTTGGATTTCAATCAAAACCCACTAAATGACTCCCCCCACAATATTTTGATGTTCCCCAAGTTTTGGACTCAATCCGATATCGATTGATCCATACAATCTGACAATTCAGGTTCGTACGAAGTTCGTTCTTTAATGGAGTGGTTGGTGTATTGCACAGTTTTGGCCATTCGATTGCAATGAAAACCCATCAAATGACTCCTCCCACCATATTTTGATGTTCCCCATGTTTTGGACTCAATCCGATATCGATTGGTCTATGAAATTGGACAATTCAGGTTATTACGAAGTTCGTTCTTTAATGGAGTGGTTTGTGTATTGCACAGTTTTAGCAATTGGATTTCACTCAAAACTGATAAGTTCATAATTTCATATATTCGCATGACTTCTTTACTTAGTGACTTTGCTTAGTTTCTCTTTATTTTGAGTCACTTACCTCTTTTTCTTTGTTTTGTGGGGTTAAGACAGCAAGAGATCAAATTTGATGCAATCCATGCTTGTTAAGGGCTGATTGGGATAAGAGGAATATGAGTTTAAAGACAAACCCAATTTGGGCCACACTCCTTGTCAATCCAGTTTCGTGGGTCATCTTGCAGTCCTCATTTCAGCAAAGTACACAGGTCGGATGAGGAGACATCCTTGATAGCAATTGTTCCAATGGGTGTCTATTATCACATATCCAAATTTCAGCCCAATTGGATAAATCTGGAGCCCTCAGCACGTCAAAGACTTAACCAAGTTCACAAAAATGTCATGTTGGCTGCCATCACATTTAAATGTGTCTACATCCCTAGAGCCATGTGCTAAGTATATGCAGCCACACATGGAAGTCAAATCAGCTCAGAAACTCAGAAGGATGAACAAAAGTCAAGTTTTCCATTAAAAAAACCATACCAAAGCATGTATTTGGCAGTTGGAGCAGGTGGCAAGTATGGGCATCTAGAGCAGGTGCCAAGTATGGGCTGCTAGAGTTGTTGGGAACAGCTAAGAGAGGTGTGCTTCACCAGCCAAAGGGGAGGACGAAATTGCACCATATAAATAGAGGGCTGCACACTCATTCAAAGATGTAGAGAGTCAGATATACATTTTCACTTCACCCATTACTCTCATACACAAATTCAGATTCACCACAAAGAGAGAAGAGAGCCTGGAGCTGTCCTGGGAATTCCTTGCTGCCATCATCTAGTTCTTCTCCTCTCTTTACCTATCTATGTATTTATTATTTTATGTATTCATAGTTATGTCTAACTAATCCATTTAGTTAAGGCTTAGGATGAAGTCCTAGTCATGAATATTCAATGTTATGGATGATTTTATAGTTAATTGATTTCCTTACTTTCATTATCAAGTTGTTAATCTCCAGTTTATTATGTGCTTGATGTATGTTTTCTTAGAGTAGCTAACTAGGATTTTATGCATCTAGCACAGGTTGGGAAGGGGTTTAGATTCACCAATTCTACTCTCCTTTCACAAGCAACACATGAATGACCTAAGAATCATTCAAGGGGTTAATGACCATAGGTTGACTAGGACAGATACCATGTTCTAGGACTTGTGTGATTATCATATTCTCAAGGAGCTTAATGACTCTTGTATGCTTTATTCTAAGTAGATACCATGCTTAGGTTGCATATTAGAGATCACGTGTTGTGTAGATACCATGCATAATCACATGCCTTAGGAGAATCATGCATCCTGCACCTAGATACCATAGGCTTGTATGCGATAATCTATTGTTGATGAAGCTTGAGTCAATTTCTATGCATTCATAACTTGGATAGGAAGACTAGTGGTAGATTCCAAGGCTCTAACACCTCTCAATCTTTGTTTCACAACTTGTTGAAGATTCGTACGAAGTTCGTACTGAAATCGAGTGGTTGGTGTATTGCATAGTTGTAGAGATTGAGTTTCACTCAAAATCCCCCAAATGACTCCTCCCACCACATTTTGATGTACCCCAAGTTTTAGACGCAAACCGATATCGATTGGTCTATGAAATCGGACAATTCAGGTTTGTACGAAGTTCATTCTGAAATGGAGTGGTTGGTGTATTGCATAGTTTTAGCAATTGGATTTCACTCAAAACCCACAATGTAATAACCCAAACTTTAATTAATACTTAACTATTATTTTATTAAGGAAACATGACACTTTTGCCCTTAGACTATTTAGTATTTGAGTTGACTTTTTGACCGGAAAGGAGTTTGGAAATTTTGTTTGCACCGTTGCGTAGAGCGCGACGAAACGAGTTCGTAGACATACGGCATGCTCGATTCCGAGCTGTAACGAAGGAGGAAAGGTCTATAAACCAAAAGGAAGTAATGGGAATTTTAAAATTGTCGGTGCTACAGTATCACTACAGTAATCGGGTCTATTTCTCCTTCTTCCTAGCGAGAAAGACCAGATTTTCTGGTTCTCTCTCTCTCTCCGCAACACTCATCTTCAAGCGACAATTTCGTCGCCATCCGATATCCGTTTTGAGTGAAATTTGTTGCAAAAGTTTCGTATCGTTGTCCTCTACCTAACCCAGCCCAGCTCCGATGCCAGCCGCAGCGAAACCACTGGAAAACTCGAAGGAAGTTGCCGGTTTTGACAGATTTTCTCATCGCTCGTTCTCCCTCGATTCTCCACCAAATCGGACGAGTGACGTATTGTTTTCCAGCTATTTTCGTAACTTAGTTGCTGGTTGGGTTAGATTTCAGAAATTTTAAGCGTAGAGCATTCGATTTTCAACTTAAGTTTCGGCCGGTTTTGAGGGTAGGATTCCGGCCACTTCCGGCCACTTTTTGAGGTAGGTCCAAGAACAAAAGTGGTTCCAAATTGGGTGTTTTATCTAAGTTAGGAGTTTGGGCCGGCGGTTTGGGGGTTTTTTGGCCGCCGGAAATTTCTCAAGCCACCCAAACTGCCGGCGCGTGTGGCGGCGCGTGGGCAGTCTAGTGGGGACAATTCTCTGTTCTAGAATGATCCTAGTATTCTCACGAGTGTGTAGAAATTCGCGGATCTCAATTCGGATGTCGTTTGAGTGTTAAGTGGATTTTTACATAGTATGCGTTATCCGGTCAATAGTTTCAAACCATTGGATCGTGACCACTTTAAGATATGTTAATTTAGACCTTACCAGGATTGTGCAGGATTCGACGGATCATGAATTGGAGTCCCGGATACTCCGGAATCGCGAACCCTAGGGTTAAGGACTTAGAATCGTCGATCATGTGATCGTGACGAATCTAACCGTCCGATCAAAACCAAATTCACAGGACGAATGTCCTAGGATTAAAGGAACGTAATGTGGCCATAGAAATAACTTTAATTTGATGCACGCACTTCTAGAAGCCGGGGGTTAGGGTTTTATTTAAATATTTATACCGAGTAGTTTTGTTAATATATTTTATTCTGGTATTTGAATCAGGCACTCGGGCACCAGTTGACCCGCAGGAGGGACCTTCCAAAGGTCCAACAAGCTCGGACCAACCGTGAGTGGACTTTTTGTTTTCATAAATGAATTTATGCAATTTAATTTCAGTATTTGATCTTGAATAAGTTTTATTCAAAGAATAGTGTTTTATAAGTGAGACATGCTTTTAAATATTATGATTTGCATGCTGTAGAGTGGAATATTCTTTAGAGATATAGGAAAAGAGAATTTTAGTTAAACATCAGATAAATGGCAGCAGAGTCCAGCCTTAACAGAAATTCAGTTATTTATCAGATCTTTCAACAAACTTTGCTTATTACTATTATTATTATTTTCTAAGCCACCTTAGGTACCCAGATATACAGATGTTGCCTTCGAATATGATGATGTCCACGGACATCCAGGTTGCCTTTGGATTTTATCAGTTGCCTT